AAAAAAAAAAAAAAAAAATATGCATGCATATTTTACGTGTCTGCTTTTTTTTTTCCAATCTTAAGAGTTTTAATTAATGAACCATGTAACATTTAAATCATGCAAATTAGACTGCATGCTGGCACTGACAATCCCCTGGGGAATTCAGCATTCTTCTTTTCCCTTACTGTGAAATTTCCGGGCATAGGAGGTATTTCTGTGTCCACAGCTTATACACACCACCACCACCACAATTTTCTCAACCATCCCACAGATACCAAATTGTCTCTGTGAGCTCTGGGTCCAGGCTGAGTATGTCTCTCTCATTGTGTCCTATGGTCTGACTCTGTCCCCCCAATTTTCATGTGTTGGAATTTAATTGCCAATGTGATAGTCTTAAGAAGTAGAGCCTTTGGGAGGGGAGTCAGTCAGGAGAGTGGAACCCTCGTGAATGGGATTAGCAACCTTATAAAAGAGCTGGAGAAACTTGCAATTGTCCCCATTTGCATTTTCTGCCCTTCTACCATGTGATGACACCTAGATGGTGCCATCAATGAAGAATGGGCTCTCTCCAGACACTGAACCTGTTAACATCTTGATCTTGGACTTCCCACCCTCCATAACTGTAAGAAATAAATTTCTGGCTGGGCACGATGGCTCACACCTGTAATCCCAGCACGTGGGAGGTCGACACTGGCAGATCACCTGAGGTCAGGAGTTTGAGACCAGCCTGGCCAACATGGTGAAATCCTATCTCTACTAAAAATACAAAAATTATCCGGGCATGATGGTGAGCACACGTAATCCCAGCTACTTGGGAAGCTGAGGCAGGAGAATCCCTTGAACCCAGGAGGCAAGGGTGGCAGTGAGCTGAGATTGCACCATTGCACTCCACCCTGGGCAACGAGAGTGAAACAAGAAAGAAAGAGAGACAGAAAGAGAGACAGAGAAAGAAAGAGAGAGAGAGAAAGAGAAATTTCTGTTCTTTACAAATTATCCATTCTCAGGTATTTTGTTACAGTAACACAAATGGACTAAGACATTGTGTCAGTCTGTGAGCTCTCACCTGGCCAGGCCTACTATGGCTCCAGTTCTTCTTGGGGCACCAGCAGAGTGGGAAGGGGGTTGAGTTGGAGCCTTCATTACGGCTCCTTAAGTTCTTTTCTCTACCTGTTTCCCTCCCTCACCCATCTGAGCCCCATCACCTTCTTCTCTACCTAGTAGTCCCCATTTGTCCACACATACACTACTGCTATGCTACGCTCTAACACGCAAGTAGTTGTCATACTGTAGCTACTACCGCTTGGAGAAGCCCCATTAATTGGATTAGAACCATGAGCCAAGCACAATAGCTGATGAAATCTTTACACAGCCCTGAGGTGGACAATATCATCTTCACTTTACAGATGAACTGAGCTTCAGAGACAAGGTCCAGTGGCCAGCCCTCAAACGAGGTACTGTCCACTCTGCACTACTGCACTCCGGCTGGGAAAGAGTTTTAGGGTCAACAAACTGCTCTATTTTCTTCTTTTCCATTTGGTACTTTCTCTTCTTGTTTATATTTTTAAATAAAAGTAATGCATACATATGGTGAAAAAATGTCAACACAAAATCAAAAACTCCCTCATCACCCCTGTTAACATCAATTGCCAATAATTCTTCGTTTTAAGTTCTAAAAACTTAAAAATGCAGCACACACACACGCGTTTCTAATTTACACAAAGTGATCTTATTCTATACTGTTTTATAAATTGCTTTCTATCTTAATATCTGATTTTTTTTTTATCAGCACATATAAAAACCTCAAATACTTTCCTGTCACACTGAAAATAAAATCCTAAGTTCTTACTTTGGCTATTACAATCTGATGCTAAAACTCAACAAAGATATTACCATAAAGGAAAAGTATGAGTCTGTGTCACTTACGAACACAGATATAAAAATCTTAAACAAAATAGTAGTAAACCAAACCTAGCAATATGTCAAAGGGATAATATATCACAACCAAGGTGGTTTCACTCCAGGAATTGCAATGTAAATTTAACATTCAGAAATCTGTCTGTGTCAGACATTAATAAAGAGAAAAAACATGATCATCTTGTAGAGAAAACCATTTGATAAAATTAAACACATTCATGATAAAAATAGAAATAGAAAAGAAGTTCCCTAACCTGATAAAGGGAATCTACAAAATCTATGGTGATATAGGTCAGAATAGTGGTTCTTTCTCGATAAAAGGCAAGAGGGGGACTTCTGGTAGTAATGTCTATTTCTTGATTTGGTTGCTTGGGTGTGGTTGCTTGTGATAAACTGTACACGTATGAGTTGTGTACTTTACTGTATGAGCATCATACTTAATTTTAAAAGGCTGTAAAAAAAATATGGGGCAGCTGCCATGGCTGCTTCTGCAAAGTCTAAGCACTGGTGTATATGCTGCAGCTACGCCCCACTGCCAACAGGAAGGGAAGCATGGAATCATATTTGTGACTAAAGATGATCACAAAACTCCAACCAATGTAGAGCTGGTGGCTAATGACCTCAGTGATCCATACTCAGCACGGACTCACGCTGCCAAATGAAGACAGTAACTGGAACTGCCTGTGCCTTGGGGGAATGGCCAGCGGCCCCTGTGGGGAACAGTTCAAGTTGGCCTTTTTCTGCTTCCACTATAGTGCAGAGGATCTCAAGGGGAAAGACTGTGTAGACCAGTTCCGGGTCAAGGAGGAATGCATGTAGAAATACCTGGACCTCTATATCCGAAAGTGTGCCCTCGATCACGTCAGGGTCAGCCACCCCGAGTGAATATCAGAACAAGAGGATGAGGAGGAAGAAGAGGAGAAGTCCCTGGAATCAATCCTTCATGGATACCGAGGGACAACTGTACATGTGGATATTGACCTGATCCATGGCTGTGTCTTGTAGTGGAGAGGAAGCTGGTAAGCTATGGGCCAAAGTTTTCGGTGAGTGAGAGGGAGTAACTTGCAGATGAGTTGCAAGAAGAGGTATATGTTACTAAATGGAGAGAGACATTCAGGAGCATGGAAATCAAGTCCCTAGATTTCCTCACACTGTAGGTGAGGAAAAACTTTCTTCTCACCCTCCCCTCTTTTTTTTTTGAGACAGAGTCTCTCACTTGCTCTGTCTCCCAGTCTGCAACCTCTGCCTCCCAGGTTCAAGCAATTCTCCCTCCTTAGCCTCCCGAGTAGCTGGGATTACAGGCACCCACCACCATACCTGGCTAATTTTTTTGTATTTTTAGTAGAGATGAGATTTCACTATGTTGGCCAGGGTGGTCTCGAGCTCCTAACCTCAGGTGATCACCTGCCTCAGCCTCCCAAAGTGCTGGGATTACAGGCGTGAGCCACCGCGCCCGGCAGAAACTTATTTTTGTTAGGAAAACTGAAACTTAGAGGGAGGATGACTGAGCCACAAACCACACCCCAGGGAGCTGCTCCAAAGCTCTCCTCAAAAGTGGTGTCAAGGGCAGCAGCTATGATGACATCCAGTTCACACAGAAGTGTCTCTGTTGATCACCAATTAACAGTGAAATCGGGATAATATCTCATTCCAAGGTTGTCAGAAGCACTAAATGTGGTTTTGTGACATAATAGGCATTTAATGTTTCTCCCCACTGCTTCCCCCCCAACCCCAGTATATTCATCAAGATCTTTCCAAGGATACTAAGTCTAGGAAACCCAGGATCATGAAGAGAGGCCGAGAAGGAGACTGATTTCTCTGGCAAGACCTGTACTGACTAGTGACATTAAAAGAGACAATCTGGCTTCTCATACTGTGCTTGTCCCAGGCCAGCTATTTGTCAACGGCTGGGCCCTCAGAGCCAAAACTGTTTTCCAGCAATGCTAAACCAGTTATTAAGTTTTCTTCACATTCTCCAGTTGGAATACTCTTCAGAGTCCACAGGACATGCAACGATATTACCTAATGGCTGCAGAATGTGTGCCTGGCATCTTAGGCTGTAAACTGTCTCAATTTCAGTTTCTAATATGTAAATGTCAGTGGATGACATGTTCTGAACCCCTTGTTGATGTCCGTAAATGGCATGCTCTGAATTCACCTAAACAAAAGAATGGCGGGTTGGGGGAGACATAGGAGGATGTATAATTTTTAAGAGTGTAAAGGGGTCCTGAGTAGGATTGCGAGATATTTATTTCATTTTTTTGGAATCTCACTCTGTCACCCAGGCTGGAGTGCGATGGCGCGATCTTGGCTCACTGCAATCTCTACCTCCCGGGCTCAAGCAATTCTTCCGCCTCAGCTCCAGTGTAGCTGGGATTACAGGAGCCCGCCACTGCACCTGGCTAATTTTTGTATTTTTAGTAGAGACGGGATTTCACCATGTTGGGCAGGTTGATCTTGAACTCCTGAGTTCAAGTAATCGGCCCTCAGCCTCCCAAAGTACTGGGATTGCAGGCAGGAGACACCACGCCAGGCCTGGATTGCCAGATTTAGCACACAAAAATACAGGACTCCCAGTTAAACGTGTCTGAGATAAACCATTATTGCATAGAATGCTCTTGTGCTAAAAAAAAAAAAAAAAAAAAAAAAAAAAAAAAAAAAAAAAAAAAAAAATTATCCGTCGTTTACCTGAAAGCCACATTTAATTGGGTGTTCCGTATTTCACCTGGCAAATTTTGGGCCTGAGACCAAAAAGTTTGAGAAACGCGCCCCTGAGCGACAGCAAGTGGAACTGCAGCAAGCTCCCAGTAATTCCGGGTGCTGCACTTCCGGTCAGGCGGTCGGGCTGTGGGGCCCTGGGGCCAGCTCATCGCCGGAAGTCTCCGTGGGCCGGTGCCCGGCGTTCCTCGCCCGCCAGGTCCGTCCTGCTTCCCAGTGCCTCGGGCCTCCCGGGGCTGGTGCTGGGCGCCGAGCCGGCAGAGCTGGCGGAACCGCTTCCTGCCTCCAGAGGGCAGCGGCCGCGGCCTAGTCCCTTCACGGGCAGCTCGGTGCCGTCGGCCCCACAGCTCTTCCTTATCGCCGGGAGTGGCTGGCCGACCAGTGGGCGGCCGGGCCAGCCTCCGCCATTCCCGTGTCTCTGCGCCCGCGGGGGCCGCCCGAGCCGGCCACCATGCCGCTGGGCCTGAAGCCCACCTGCAGCGTCTGCAAGACCACGTCGTCCTCCATGTGGAAGAAGGGCGCGCAGGGGGAGATCCTCTGCCATCACTGCACTGGCCGGGGCGGCGCGGGCGGCGGGGCTGCCGGCTCGGGGGCGGCCGGAGGGACTGGGGGCAGCAGCGGCGGCGGCGGCTTCGGCGCGGCGAACTTTGCCAGCACCTCCGCCGCCCCTCCGCAGAGCAACGGGGGCGGGGGCGGCAAGCAGGTGAGCTCCTCCGGCCTCTCCCGAATAGGCGCTAGGCGGGCCGGGGCCGGGCCGGCGGGGAGCGGGCGGGCACAGGCTTCCCGGATCGCGATGCTCCTGCCGGGCTGGGACGCCTCCCCACCTCCTATTGAGATCTTTGGTTTGGCCCATTCCGAAGCACCTGTTATTGTAAGAAATTCAAAGCATAAGGAAGCAAGAAAATGTAAAGCCCTTCTGAAAATCTCAGTATACACACGTCTACGCAGTCGTAAACAGGGTCATGCCACAGATGCAGGACCTCATTCCTTGTTAATAAAGGTTTTGTCATATCAGGTTATGAAGTAAGGATTATTGTCATTATTGTAAATGGCAGCTTAAATATTCCATTGTAGGAGGTGCAATAACCTAATACTTTCTCTGGCCTTAGGGAGTAAAGTTGTTAAGGCCTCTGGCCTTAGGGAGTAGAGTTCTGTGTTTTTCTCCTGTAGACACAACAAATGAATAGGTTTTGTCTTGGCCTAGACTGACTCCTACTCCTGCCTCCTGCCCTATTATAAGCAGCTCACACCTTCGGGAGGCTCTGTAGAGGCTTGTCACGCGAGCTCCGATTCGGGGTGCTGGACTTGTAGTTTTAGCCCAGTTACTATAATTATCCCGTTTGAAAAGCAAAGGCGCACTCTTAATTGCTAAATGTTCTTATAAAGTGCATACTGCGGGATCCTTGTAAGATTGTTGTACTGGGACTGCAACCTTTCTACACTTCTTACTTCTTTCTCTTTTCGTTCTTTACTTTGTGTAACAGAGTAAGCAGGAAATTCACAGGAGGTCTGCTCGGCTCAGAAACACTAAATACAAATCTGCTCCGGCTGCTGAAAAGAAAGTTTCCACCAAAGGAAAAGGGAGAAGACATATATTTAAATTGAAAAATGTAAGATGTTTGTTGACAGTGCCTTTTACTGTAATGACGTTGTGTATATCCTGCCACTGCCTTCATTTCTCCCCACTGAACTTGGACTCTGCCCTTGAAAGCCCTTCCTCAGTATTCTGGGGGTGGTCCAGACTCCCCTAAAGGGAATGAACTCTGTTGCAGGAGGCTCACTGTTTGTAAAGTTAATAATACTCTTTTTTTTTTTTTTTTTTTTTTTTTAGCTTTTACTTTTTCCCCTGGAAAATATAAAATACGGGTTTAAAAGAAATATTGCCGGGAGCGATGGCTCAAGCCTGTAATCCCAGCACTTTGGGAGGCCAAGGCGGGCAGATCACAAGGTCAGGAAATCAAGACCGTCCTGGCTAACACGGTGAAACTCTGTTTCTACTAAAAATACAAAAAAATAGCTGGGCGTGGTGGTGCGTGCCTGTAGTCCCAGCTACTCGGGAGGCTGAGGCAGGAGAATCGCTTGAACCGCAGAGGCGAGCTTGCAGTGAGCCGAGATAGCACCACTGCACTCCAGACTGGGCGACAGAGCGAGACTCCGTCTCAAAAATAATAATAATAATAAAAAGAAATACCGACCTTGAGCCCATTTTTTTGGGTTCTCTATGCAAAGGAAGAGGAGAGTTTGTGGTTCTTAATATGGCCAGGTACACTAAGAAAACTTTTTTTTCATTCTTTAAAAATTTAAGTAAATATTAATACTGGAACTCATCATTTGCATATTTATTTGTCATAAAAGTCCCAGAAAATGCATCCTCTGATGATGGATTTGATGAATATGAGTCAAAAATTTTGTTTAGCCTTATCTCCTCTTCTGCTCTAAGAAAAGAGATTGTTGAAAGACCTGTGCTGGAAATAATTGAAAGCGTATTTTTATTGAAATTAAATTCTCACTTTTTATAAACAAGGGATAATGGTCAAACACAGTGGACAGTGCATTATGGACTATTTTTTTAAGTCTCAGTATAATATTCTTTTCTTTCAGAACAGGAGGGTTTCACTTACCGGTAAAGACATTTCTGAAGTTGGCATATTTCTAAAACCCAGAGGGACCCTGCAGTAGACTTATGCAGATGACAGAGTATTTTCTTTTATAATTTAATTAATTTATTTTTTTAATTTTACTTTAAGTTCTGGGATACATGTGCAGAAAGTGCAGGTTTGTTGCATAGTTTACACGTGCCCTGGTGATTTGCTGCACCTATCAACCCATCATCTAACTTTAAGCGTTGCATGCATTAGATATTTGTCCTAATGCTCTCCCTCCCCTTACTTCCCATCCCCGACAAAGCCCAGTATGTGATATTCCCCTGTCCAAAGTGTTTTCTTATTCAGAGTAGTTGCTTCAAATTTATTTAAGATTTTTATAATTTAGTTAAGTCAGGCATTTGTTGATTACACAAAACATGTCATTTTTATTTGTATCACATACACACATTTTTTTTCCTTTTAAGTATGGTATACCATGTTCTTAGTAAGTATTATTATTTCTCTGCAACTCCTTTCTTCGATGGTACCAAGCAAGACAGATCTGAGGAGGTCTAGTTTCTATGTTGTGGCATAAAAATATGTATTGCACCTTTGGTAGAGATTTCAAAAGTGGTTGGATGGTGGCAAATTACTAAGAATTTTCGAAGTTTTTAAAGCCTTAGTTCCAGCTTGCTAGAAAATTGATGTTGAGTATTATGGCTAGTTGCATAGTTGAGTTGGAAAATGTCTTCAGGGAGACACTTTTTCACTTTGTATTCACCTGTACATTCTTTATTACTTGCATTCTGTCATGCTCAGGCTATTAGAACAGGTATATTTTTATAACTGGAATGTTTATGTATAGTGGAGCTCTGAGAGGACTTTGCATTTGATCTCAGCCGCATAATCAGAAGCTTGTCCTTTGTCTCAGAAATTGGAGTGGAAACTGAGACTGCTTTGCTACAGCATTCAGAAAATCATTTATCTTTTTATTGCAGTTCTTGTCACCAAACAATACATTTTAGTACTTCTCAAATTACAGAACTCTCATAGAGCTGGGAAAATGCCTGTACATACGTACATACTATGAATGTGCTAATTTTTTTTTGTATTTTCATAGCCCATCAAAGCTCCTGAGTCAGTTTCCACCATAGTCACCGCAGAATCAATCTTCTACAAGGTAATATTTTGTAGTTACTGAAGGAAGAGTTGGGCCTAGTGGGTAATGTGCCACTAAAACATCAGATTAATCTAAAGGTCTCTGCTGCTCTTTATTTGTATAAGTTGTGATTATACTTTTTGTTCCCTTCTTAGCTGTTTTCCCCATAAGTGGCTGTTATTTTTTATTTTTTGAGATGGAGTTTCGCTTTTGTTGCCTATGCTAGAGTGCAATGGTACGGTCTTGGCTCGCCGCAACCTCTGCCCGCCAGGTTCAAGCCATTCTCCTGTCTCAGCCACTGGAGTAGCTGGGATTACAGGCATGTGCCACCACGTCTGGCTAATATTTTGTGTTTTTTATAGAGACAGGGTTTCTCCATGTTGATCAGACTGGTCTGGAACTTCTGACCTCAGGTGATCTGCCCACCTCGGCCTCCCAAATTGTTGGGATTACAGGCCTGAGCCACCGTGCCCGGCAAGTGGCTGTTATTAAAACGTCTCATCTAGAACTGAAGTGGGAGGGGAAGATGCCTACTGAAATATGATGTGAGGATCTTAAGTATTTTTTTAGTGTAGATTATAGGAATGGTTCTTAAAATGCCGATTGTATAGTGTAAAGCCATGGAAGAGTGAGCCATTAGTGTGATGGCATTGAAGAATGAGAAGGACAGAGACAGGATTGGGACCAGTAGTGAAGCAGGAGCGGTGAGAAGCAAACCTCAAACACCGAACTAAGGAAGAAAGTGGCTTTTTATTCGGCCAGGGGCTGCTATGGGGGCTACAGCTTTATTCACCGAGCTCCCCGAGAAGCAGCTTCTTTCCCCTTTTATAGGCTTACAATACTAAAGGGGAAACTGAGGTGAAACTATGTCCATTGGCTGGACATCAGACCTTACAATCTTTTGGCTTCATTGATTTGCTAGTTTACATGCAGTGCGAGTGGGAACAGGCAGGGGAGGGGGCTTACAGAGTCAAGACAAAGGCAGTAAATTATTAGTTGGCAGAGGTGTTTCCAGGAGGGAGCCTGGGCTGTGCAGACGTAGGGATGTGACCCAGTGCCCGGCTCCAGCTCCAGCCAGTAGGGATAACATTCTTTTGCAACTCTTTCAAGGTTTGTAGATAGCAGAGGTGCTGGGAACTAAAAAGGGAGTCATCTTCCCAGCTCTTTGGTGTTTTATTTCTTTTTTTTTTCACTCTTCTTCCCATCTGGAGGGGAGGAGGAGGTGGAGGCCAGGAAATGAGAAGAGGGAAGGGGGTCTCCCCTCTCAGTAGAGGTTGTAGACTGTGTTGTCAAATGGGTAGAGTAGGCCCAGAGATTCTAAAATGCCTTTATGTGGAGTTGAGCTGAGTAAGGATAGTAGTGGGGATTAACACCTACTAGAAATTCATAGTGAGAGGAATTCCAAGATGTTTTGACAAAGAATGAGGAGGTCAAGTTTCCTAGGGCCAAAGTCCATGGAAATCTGATACCTCATTGAGAGAAGTGACAGATTGTTGTGTTTAAACCAGAAGTTTTAGGAAAGGAATTAGAACATAGACCTTTAAGGCTCCGCAGGCCTGGCATGGCACAGGAAGCAACCATTGAAGGGTATTTGGTGTTTTGGGATCTGAACTGTCATTTTGGGGACAGTGGTGTGAATGCTTTATACTTAACCCAGGTGGACTGAGAAACTCAAGTGATTATGCCCTTAAGTGTACTTTGTTTTTTTTTTTTTTTGAGGTGGAGTTTTCCTCTTGTTGCCCCGGCTGAAGTGCAGTGGCACAATCTCGGCTCACCGAAACCTCCGCCTCCCAGGTTCAAGTGATGCTCCTGCCTCAGCTCCCCAGGTAGCTGGGATTACAGGCATGTGCCACCACACCTGGCTAATTTTGTATTTTTAGTAGAGACGGGGTTTCTGCACATTAGTTAGGCTGATCTCAAACTCCAGACCTCAAGTGATCCACCCACCTCAGCCTCCCAAAGTGCTGGGATTGTAGGCATGAGCCACCGCACCTGGCCTAAGTGTACTTTTTTTTTAAGCCCACAATCTATATAGTCAAAGTCTGTTCCTCCCCCCAGGAGTACAGTGACATTCCTCAGCAGGTCTGGGAAAAAACAACAACAAAAAAAGTCTATACTCTCTTACTTTTCCCAACATCTCTCTTATTTTTCCAACATGTCATACATTGTTAATAATAAATAGCTACAGTTTAGCAAACAGTTACTTTGTATCAGTGGCTAAGCATTTTATGTGCTTTATTTCGTTCATTTCACTTTATGAGGTGGGTACTATTATCCCTGTTTTCCGGATGAGAACATTGAGGCACAGCGAGGCTAATTAACTTGTCCAAGATCACATAGCCAACAAGTCATGGAGTGAGGCAGTCTCATGCCAGAGCTTAAGCCTAGAGCATCGTTCCTGGCTCTATAGCTTTAGCAAGTGACTGGCTCTGTGATGAGGACCAACCTCTCTAATGTTTATCTGTAAAATAGGAATCGTAAATAGTTACTACCTCAGTGGACAAAGTGAAATTATATTTGTTAAGCACTTAGCAGAATAAGCACTCAATGAATAGTAGGAGTTATCACATCTTCATATTTGTGCATTACCTTCACAGTTGACAGATTAAAGCCAGAAGCAAGTTGTTGAGCTTACAGATTTAGTGTACTAATGATTTCCATGTTTGTCTCCATGGAAGGGCATGTGGGATCTGTTATTGTGACTGTCTGTACTTTTGTATTGTTGTCTACCACCCATGTTTATTAAATGGTAAGGACAGTGATGCAACAAAGTAGTAAAAGTAATGTTGCAAATGCCCAGTATTGTGGGGGCTATCACAGCAGTGCCACTGGCAGGCAGCACCTTGGTGGTAAGTTCAAGAGGTCACTGCCAGCCACTGAGCTAGAGATCAGATCAGGCATGCAAGAGGAAGCTGAGTGGGAGCCACTAGGGATCATGGCCAAGAGAGTGACCACCCAAGACCCAGAATGGCTGAGTGGCCTCCCTGGAGCACGGCAGAACAACTCTGTGAACTCAGGTCTGGTGATGCCTAAACTAGTGCTGTTCACCATCTTGTGTGGACCCCTTTTGTCCGTCAGAAACCTTGAACCCTCTCAGCAAATGAGGTGACTACTCAGATCAGTGACTTAGTCTTGTTTGGTGTTATATATATGTACACAACATAGTACATATTAATAAATACCTAGTGCCGGGCATGGTGGCTCACGCCTGTAATCCAAGCACTTTGGAGGCCAAGGCGGGCGGATCATCTGAGGTTGGGAGTTCAAGACCAGCCTGACCAACAT